AGTCGAGGGTCAATGGGTAACCCAGGACTCAACCCCACCCAGACCTTTTCCCTTGACCCTAATGGGTCACTCGACCCATGTTGACCCATCATTAGAATGATTGGGTTGGGTGGGTCAGATGAGTTGGGGTCAGAATTGCCAGCCCTAGGTCTGGGTTGGCCAAACCTTTATAAATCTTTGGTGTGCTTTTTATTTTCTTCTAATTGTTTTTCATTGTTATTGATATTTATTATTCATAATGCTATACTTTGTCACACAAGCACTTTACATTATTACTCTTTGTTATTTGTATATAGCTCTTAAATTTTAGAAGGTTTTAGTTGGAGGGAATCATCAGAAATCAATCCACCCTCCCTCTTGCATCAAGCTACCTAGGTTAACAGCCCTTTTACATTTCCTCCCCCTCCCCAATTCACCGGTATCATCATTCAAGCCTTATCCCAACCTTTTGTTGTCTTGTGTGGTTTTTTATTTTTAAATAAATTATAAAAAATGTAAGAAGCACAATAAAAAAAACCCTATATAATTAAGTTTTCACTTCTCTAATAAGCTCCATCATTTCTCTCTCCCTCTCTCTAATAGTTAATTAGTTAATGTTAGTAACATCTCTCTGACTCATTAAATCTCTCCTTTCCTCTTAAATCTTTGTAAACCCCTTTTGTTTTTCTCTAATAAAACAGGGGTAGAAATTAGAAGGATCATGGCCGATTAAGAGCCAACCCAAGACCAATCCTAAATATGAACATTGGCCTAGACTGAAACTGATGTCAAAACCCAAATTCATAAACCCAAATCTAATCACATTTCTATTAAACCCCATTAATTACATGGATTTACTTGCTAACATACACAACGAGATCAGATACTGTCATCACAAGTCCCTTGCAGCCTTGGAAAAATCTCCTCATAAAAAAAGCATATAACACTGCCAGGGACTGTACTGTGTGAAGACGGTTTTATGAGGATCAAATCCGATTTTTACACAGATGCATGCGGGGTTCAATTAATGGTTCATTAAAAATAGAATAGACAACCCTACTTATACTTGCTCCTTTGTTACTACAATGAGTTCGAATTGACTCTCCACATAGCGCGTGAAATATGTGTAACCTAACTCAGATGGCCTAACTTTCCAATTAGGAGAGACAGCACAAGCACAGGCTCCCCAGAAGTGTAATCATGTTGCACCCAAATATGAACACTGGATTCCATGGATGGGTGAATAAATGGTTGTGATGAGTTCACTGACACTCCCAACCCAAGTACTCTTCAGTCTTCACTCGTGACTCACCTTACGCGGCCGAAGCGCGCATGTAAGTAATGAATTAATGGATTCAAGACCGCTAGTCATTTTTGAACTCGTCCACGAACCACGACTTTGTTGCCCTCTAGGCTTCAATGAAGTCAATACCCAAATACTGAATCAAAGAAACAAAGATGAAAACCCCTATTGATGATCAAGCAGAAAACAGTCGGTTTTAGGGCCTACTGTGTTCTTTTGTACCATTTATGTAAAAATTGGTATCTGTAGTTTTCGTTGACCTCCAAGTGTTTGGAATTGGATGCTGCCCCTTGAGCTTTTGGCCTCTGAGCGACCAACTTTCCCTGAGAGGAGTTTAGAAGGAGGCATCAGGCTCTTATACTAACTCTGGACAGGGTCCTCTGCCTCTGGCCCTGCTCCATCGTGATTCAACCAGGGAAGAGTCTTTTTTGAACTGCAATAGTACAGGACTAACATGTGCTCATGTTACCTGTCACCACAGTTTGAATCTATCGTCTCAATTTGCAGCAATGGTCCCAAAAGTCTACAACTATGCTTTGAGGGGGCCGCGTGGGGGCACCCAAAATCGGTCATGCAGTGTATTTCATTTTCTACTACATAACACGTTCCCTTCTATAACTCAATAATTCTATTCCTTTATCCACCACCTATTGGACTGCTCTGCCCATTCCAATAAAAACCCAAGTACAAGCTCTAATCAAATTCTTAATGTCTCAGTTTGGAAGGAGTATAAATACAAATATGTAGAGTGCAAAACTTATGTATTTATATTTGTGGTTGTTAAAATTGTATAAATAATGAACCCACATGTTTAAACTTAATTTAAGCCAAGTAGAGTCAATTATATATGCCACCGGATTTAATTAGGATCAAACCTCTGCATGCAACGGGGTAATCTATAACTTTCAAATGTCTCGGTTGTTCGGAGATTGGGTGGTTTGTTACTGTGACACATTTGTTTCCTAGTCGGGACACGGGAACAAGCTATATCTATCATCTACTAAATTAGGATTCGTCAGTAGATAGATATTATGTTTGTTAAAGTCAATCAGAGGTTACGTCAATCTATTAGTATTAAGACCTACTTACAAGTTACAACAATGTAAGCACCCAAGGCCCAGTCTTTCGGCCCATGGAACACTTTTGTAGACTAGCCAAGTGGAGTGGCCAGGTGAAGGATACAAATTAATATATAGGCCCACCACATGACCACAGCAGGTGGGATCCTTCAAATCATTGTGCACATGCATGCGTATAGCTGCCGTGCCGTGCATATACACTGGATGTGATTCCTTGCCACTAGCTAGACCGACCCCTTCCAAGGACTCCCATTGGCTGCCTATTCTTCAATGCTTGAGCCAATGTTATCCACAATTATAGAATAATGGAGTAGTGTTTGAATTGTTGCTCGGGTTTTGAGGTAAAAGCCTGTGGGTCATGGATTCACATATATATCCAGTACAACATTCCGGATATTTTGAGGCTGTATTTGGTTTGAAAGAAAAGAAAAAGACAGGGAAAGGTTTTCTTTTTCTTTCAAACCAAACACAGCCGAATGGTATGACCATAATAGGTTACCGGTTACACCCTAGGATGTCATAACTCATCAGAGGTGTATATCGGGTATAGTACTCGAGGAATAATGTGATTAAGGAGAATAGATCAACTACCATATGTATCCTTCACCCACCGTGTGATGGGATTGATTAATGACACGTGGGTTTCTATTATTATTATTATTATTATTATTATTATTATTATTATTATTATTATTATTATTATTACGTAAAAGAGTTTGTTAAAACATCAAGGAATTAGGTTGTTTAGTGATATTCCCTTTCCTATATGAAGAAAGGACTCATGAGGTGTATATATAGTTACTATAGGTGGTGTTTGGTAACAATGCTGTTGCTTGGGACTGAAGTTTTTTTCTTGGATTTCGGGAGATATATTATTGCACAAGATCCTAAAATCATTTTTTTTTTTGTGTTCAAGACACATAGGAGTCAATACTCAATAGGCGCTACGTAGGAATAAAACGACGTTTCTTCACAAGAAACACAAAAAAACACTTTTCTGGATAATCAAATCTCACCGAAATCAAAGTAAAAAATTGGCAGCGTGTTTTTAAGAAAGGCAATGTCAATCAAATATGAAGTGATTATCCACTGTAAAAAATGCCTATTGGATCCAAACTCTTACCGTTTTTCTGAGAAAGAACAAAAAAACAACAATTGTACCAAACACCAAAGTAACCTGATTGGCAGGTAATCCTATTCCTAGTTGAAACGTTTGGTAAACTTTTTTTTCTTTCCCTACAATTATCATTATAAATTTATTATTATACGACCCACATAATAATATAATAATAGGAGTGATATCAAAATGGGCCTACGTATAAGTCGCATGTTTTGTTGCTGTCATGGGGTCTCAAGTGGGACCTGCCTGCCACCCAGACATGGGAATTAATCTCCCAAGTTCAAATGATTTGCGTGAAAGAATTTTTACACTCATTAGGTCCTATACTCTTTGGAAAGGGAGGAGGATTGAATGTGCAGAGCGTCTGTGGATGAACTTGGAAAATACAAGAACAAGAATGTAATGTAGTCAGAGATAATACGAACGTGTGGGGCGCCAATTGTATGGTGCGGTGGTCCCTTGTACTACTAATTAAGTAATGTTACAATCGAAGAAGGTGTGTGATGTGTGACGTTGTGTCCGTGTATTATGCGTGATTGGTTGCTGTGTGATGTCTTACTCTTTCCCCTCCACACATTGTCTCTGTTATCGGGGGAGAGCCGGAGAGGGGAGACGGTGACGACTGACGAGAATATGAATTTCATTCGTCCAATAAAAGTGATAAGCTTCAGGAGAGTGGTTCGGGAATATGTAGTTGATGGTTCATGAAAATAGGATGTGCCCAGCCCTGCCCCTAACCCTAACATTAACATTTCCATTAGGACTTAGGAGGGCAGTAGAGGTAGAATAGAATGGACATTTGTCAGTTTCCGGTTACGAGAAACTTCAATGTGGAAACCGTACCGTAGAGAGCTAGGTTGCCTTATCATACAGTGGTGGGGGTGGGTCTCAGTAATCCTTTTGGACAAGTGGATAGCTTTTTCAATTATTGTATGCTGTAAATATAGAATCTAGAGAGGACCACAGAAACACAAAAATGGGTGGGACATAGCTTAAAGTTTGACATTTGTTGGTCTTTAGCTATTACAGACTACAGAGGATCATCAGGTCCTCTCTTTTCCCATCACCACTTGCATTTAAAATCCAACGGTCGGTTGGAGGGGATTAAATAACATAAATAATTAGGTGAAGTTTTGGAGGTAATGAGGCAGAGAAAACTTCTCCTTCCTTCCTTATTAGCTGGTTAGGAATGTGAGAGGAAACTCCAATCACTAATCAGACACCAGGGTTCACTCCCACTGTCCCATCTCCACGCTGCTGCAGCTGCATATGTCATCGTGTGGCTCAGGCCTTTATCCCCAAGGATTTCTTGTCGGCAACACCTCCCTCAACAATATAGTAATTTTCTCCCTCTCTCCCTCAACATCCATCTGGCGCTTTGGTCAAATGGTGGAGTCACAGTTGGAGTGCGTGTCATTCCTTCACTCCCAAACAGTCCCCAAGAGTCCCAAACTCGAAACTCCTATATAAATGTCACACTTGCATATATGCATAATATCCAGTGACAAAGGAAGAAACAATTATCCTCCACCATCTAAATATCAAACACCCAACTCCCCTCCCAATCCACTCTCTCTCTCTCTCTCTCCCTCTAATTTCAATTTGTCCCCGCCTCGCGACTCGCGTGCGACCTTCTTCACTCCGTGGCTTTCTCTCGTTCTCTCGCTCTCTCAGGTCTAAGCTTGCTTGCTTTCGCTATCGTTCCCAAATCTCCACAAGAGCAACAATGAAGTTATTAGCTAGAAAAGCCACGTGCAACTCACACGGCCAAGATTCTTCTTACTTCCTAGGGTGGCAGGAATACGAGAAGAATCCATACCATGAATATCAGAATCCAACTGGAATTATTCAGATGGGCCTTGCCGAGAATCAGGTGTGTCTCGTCTCGTCTCGTAGGTTCCATTTTTATCGATGAGGCCCATTGACCCCTCATCGATCGTGAAATGATTACACAGCCGTCCGTCTCCATTTACGGCAATCCTCTTCCTCGGATTTAATTGCTCATTAATGTTCTCGTTATTGCGTTTCTTGCAGCTTTCTTTCGACCTTCTCGAATCTTGGCTCGCCAAAAATCCTGACACCACTAGTTTCAAGAGAAATGGAGAATCCATATTCAGAGAACTCGCCCTCTTCCAAGATTATCATGGCCTCCCCGCTTTCAAACACGTAAGTGTTCCACGAATCTTCTCGCCCATTTGAAAGATCATCAACTGTTGAATCTCTGATATTGAATCTTCATTTCTTCATACAGGCATTGGTGGAATTCATGGGAGAACTAAGAGGAAATAGAGTAAGCTTTGATCCCAGCAAGCTGGTCCTTACAGCCGGTGCAACTTCGGCTAACGAAACTCTCATCTTTTGCCTTGCCGAACCAGGCGAAGCTTTCCTCCTTCCTACTCCATACTACCCAGGGTAAACCTCTTTCTCCTATTTGCACTACTCGCTTTTTGATCACTTTCAATAAGTTGGTCGATCATATATCTTTCTTAAATAAGGTGTATAATTAGCTCATTGTTTTTCCCCCTCTTGATTTTCCTCAGGTTCGATAGAGATCTCAAATGGCGAACTGGGGTTGAGATCGTTCCCATACATTGCAACAGCTCCAATGGCTTCCGAATTACTCAATCTGCTCTAGACGAAGCTTACCAACAAGCCCAGAAACAAAACCTGAAGGTTAAAGGGGTTCTGATCACCAACCCTTCGAATCCATTGGGCACGACCATCAGCCGAGACGAGTTCGACCACCTCATCAACTTTATTGCTTCCAAAGGAATCCACTTAATAAGTGATGAAATCTATTCCGGGACAGTCTTTGACTCCCCGGGTTTCGTAAGCGTCGCAGAGGTTCTGATGGACAGAAACCTTCAGGAAACAGACGTTTGGGAACGAGTTCATATCGTCTATAGTCTGTCCAAGGATCTTGGTCTTCCTGGATTTCGAGTGGGTGCCATTTACTCTAATGACGTCACTGTGGTTGCAGCGGCAACCAAAATGTCAAGTTTTGGACTTGTCTCTTCTCAAACTCAGTATCTTCTTTCGGCCATGCTCTCTGATAAGAAGTTTTCAAGAAATTATATCATAGAAAATCAGAGGAGGCTTAAGAAACGGCACGGCATGCTCGTCTCCGGCCTTCTGAATGCCGGTATCAGATGCTTGAAGAGTAACGCCGGTTTGTTTTGTTGGGTAGACATGAGACACCTCTTAAGCTCTAACACTTTCGAAGCAGAGATGGAGTTGTGGAAGAAAATTCTTTACGAAGTCCGGTTAAACATCTCTCCGGGGTCTTCCTGCCATTGCACCGAACCAGGGTGGTTTCGCGTTTGCTTTGCCAACATGTCTGAAGATACCCTAAACCTCTCCATGCAACGAATTAAGGCCTTTGTCGACTCCACCGCGGCCACCACCTCCAACGATAGTGATACTCCGTCCCAGCGTCAACTAGTTAGAAACTCGAGAAGAGGGTCATTGACCAAGTGGGTTTTTCGACTATCGTCTTATGAACGCAAAGCCGAGCGTTAATTCGAGTCTGACTCTGCCGGAACAAATCTTTTTTTTTTTTTTTATTCAGTCTTCTGTCCTTTTCTTTCTTCTTCGGTTCAGTCCGTCTTCACTATAGGAATTGGTCCGTCCGAATAGTTAAAACTGTAATTGCAAAATAGGAGATATATACACTCATTCCTCTCTCTCTCTCAGCATGGTCAAAATGGAACTTTTAGTTGGAAGCAGATCCGGACTCGAAGAGAAATACTTGTTACTGTAATAGTTTATGTAGCTCAAACATGTTCCTATGACAATAGATATTGCTTGCATTATGCTTGAATAGCAGCGCGACGGGATTGCCGCCAGACGGCGGTGAGATTAATGCCGACGTTTGCCGTCACATTTAATTTTTGGGTCCCAATGGACTTTGTTCACTGATTTTGTGTGAAGTCATGACGTCTTTCACGCCGGATGAGTAGGTGTTTCTTGTAGGAGGAGGGGTTTGTTTCGGTCGGATCTGCTGTGTCCGAAGCAGTTAGACCGGCCTCTCTCTCTCAACGTCTTGTGAAAGTATTCTCCCTACTCAAAAATCGGAAAAATACGTACAGGCCCAATATAGATTTCTGAATTCCACTATCGATCTATAAATATTTAAGATGTCAAAAACCCTTGTTCTATATATCAATGCCCGCCCGCCGATTGATATTAACTCTGAGCTGAACTGGCACCTACCCCAACTGTACTTTGAGCAAAAAAATTCTAAACACTGAGCTGAACCGTCAATTATATAAGATTTTCCAATTATAAAATCAAGGCACGAGGTAGAGAAGAGGTGTCTACAGTTTATTGGGTACACTGCCTCAAATGCAGCGTTGAATCGGTTTGATTGAGATTGTGGGGTTTGTCTTTAGGTCAAAATCAGAACCTGGCTCAAGAGGAAAGACTTAATTTACACAGTACACGTGTTTGAATTTCTTTCTTCCAAGCTTACAATTTTCCTTCGTGTTCCGGTTCATATTTCCATCTTTTTGTTTGTAATCATGACTTTGTAATGTAAAATTTGTACTTCCTTTCTTCTGCCTTATCCTTCCCATAAAATGGGACCACATCAAATTTTAAGACAGTTAACTAATAAAATAGAATCAATGATAGCGAACAAGGTGTTATTTATCAAAATTGATGAATGGATTTTGATGAATCATTTTTTGGTGATGTATCGATTTTTTGGCTAAGTATCTCGTCATTTGATCTGCTTTCAAGTGGTCGATGACTCAGGCCAAAGTGGAGAACTTTGGCTACCGAACTGAGTCGAGCTGGGCAGGCTAGGTGGCAAGCTGCTTGTGAGGTGTCGGGCTGACCAGGTGCCGAGCTGATTAACAGCTCGGCTCAACTAGCGACCTCCTCGGCATACACCGCGCTTTTTCTCTTGAGAAGGCTATATTTCGGAGTCAGGATGCTCCGAACTGCTTCCTCGTTGCCCGAAGACATGGCGGTTGCAGGGGCAGGCTCCGAAGATGCCTCCTAGGGCACGCGGGGCGGGGAAGCCTTTCCTGGTTCCTCCTCGATCAGATCAATTACTGGAGGTTGCACGGCGGAGGGTTGCTCAGACTCAAGCCCGGTAGCCTACGGTGACTCAACGCGAGCTCTTTTGGCAGCTCGCTTCTTCTTCCCCTTCATTCGGCCAAGGAGTTTATCTATAGCGACCTTCATGGGAGCTGCAACGAAAGTTAAATGTCAGAAACAACATCAAGATAAAACAAAAGCAACACAAAGTGACGACCTACTAGGACTCAGACCAGCTTGTACGAGCTTGTCTTCGGTCGCATAGTCTTCAAACTTGAGACCGAGCTCTGCCCAGGACTGAAGCGCTTCCCTTGTCTTCAAGTCCAGCCTGATGCCGGGATCATGAATGGCCGCCCTCCAATGGGTCGGGAAAGGCCAACCCTTAGTGTTACGAACTAAAAAATAGCCCATTTTCCAGGCCGGGACCTTGTTTGGGAGTTTGTGTAAGAGCTTGTAGCCCGAACGTGGGGACAAATAGTAGGTCCGCCTGTGCTTGGGTAGAACACAGGAGGAGTTCCTTTTTATTGAAAGTATGAAAGCAAAAATATCGAGATCAAGGGGAAACTTATAATCATGGAAGAGCGAGATGATGCCTACCATGTTGCAGATGGAGTTTGGGTGTAACTGATCTATGGTAATATTGAAAAGTTTAATGACCTCGACGATTAGGGGGTGAAGTGGAAGACGAATACCAGGGGCGAGCTGCTCTTCGAAGATCACGATCTCATTGTGATCATGCCCCCAAGGGAAGTTGCCTAGAGGAAGACTATAAGTGAGGTTGTTCGGAAGATTGTACCGAGTTATTAAGGCCTGGAGCCTATCCAGTGTCATCATCAATGGGCTGAAGTTGTCTGGTACCCGACCTCGGTGTAAGGTGGATGCCGGAGTGCCTGAGGCCTCTCGCACCTCCCGGGGTGACTGCACCTCAAGAGGGCCACAGCCCGCTTCTAGACCCGAAGTAGCTTCGGTATGACTATCGACCTGGGCCGAGGCACCCGCCTCAGCCTCATCTAGAAGACTATCAAAACTGAAACTAGACATGAAAAAGAAACTGAATCGAAGAGGAGAGCTAGGGAAGACTCACCAAGGAGAAAGACCGAACTGGAAGACCCGAGCTAAGGAGCTTGGACGTGACCTCAGACCGAAGGCTAATGAACTTATGGCGAAGAAAATGAGTCTCGGGTCCCCCTGTTTATAGCCTTTGTACCTGAGAATCAATGGTCGAGATCAAAGCGATCTGACGGCTCCTAAGAAAACCGGCTGTGCGACCCCCGAGGTTGAAATCAGTTTAGCGCGTTTTTTGACGTCCGCAGAGTTTGTAGATCGCGTGACGTCCGCGCATAAACCGGACGCAACCTGGGTTATTCTTGGTTGATCTGAGCAACCGAACTGGTCCGACCAATGATTCGTTTGACAAAACGGCCTGGACCTCGAGCCAAATCCACTTGTCATGTCCTCAACTCCCCGCACCAGGTCAGGACCCCTAGCTCGGGGAGTGGGGGGCAAATGATGAAGGGTGATTTGGCCCGACCTCGTAACAGGGGGACACGTGGACACGACCTGACTAATAGACGACAACTAAGCATGACCAGTCCACAACAGAACGACCTCGGGTACCCAGCTACCACGAGCTAAAGCTACCTCGAGACAAGGTCACCTCGATATGAGATCACCTTGGCATTAGATTGCGACAAGCACACCTCGATGCCAAGTCACCCCGGTACTCAATCCAATTCGAAACTTAAAGGCGTCAGCTCAGGGATACTGATTTGCCACTACGTGGTGATACCAAAAATTCCTCCAACGGTTCCCGAACTCCGCGGGATCACGCCGCATTTCAACTAGCATTATCTCCCCGCCCGATTCGGGTGAAAGTGATGAACCTTATCAGTTGGCAGCGTTATCCCCCAATTAACGCGGAAACGGCTCCTATTGTGACGAAGATCCCGGAACCGATCCATAAAGCCCGCAAGGACTCCATTATATAAAGGCTCCACCCCCCGAGGGTAGCAGGTACGCGTAATTTTTCTGCTCTCTAGCTCTCTACATTCAAAAGCTTTTAGCTTGCAACCAAGTACTGACTTAAGCATCGGAGCAACCTCGCCGAGTAAGCAACCCCGGGTTCTCTGATTCACCTTCTACAGATCGACCTAGTCCGCCGTCTACTGGGAGTCAAATCACATCTAGCAGGGAGCAGTCAGATTGCGCAACATCAGATTTTGATTAATCAAAACTCTTTATATTATATTTTTTCCTTATCATAGATTTTCTCCTAAAAATGTAAAGTGAAAGTAAATTAGAATTTATATTTAGTGCATTTACTTTTATTGCTGATTGTATTTTCATGGATTGTATCTCTATACATTTTTAATAAAATTAATTATTGCCTTAAAGGCATGAAAAATGTAAATTAAAAGTAAACTAGAATTTATATTTGGTCCATTGCACTCTTATGCATTTACATTAATGCCACCGGAATTTGCAAGAAAGTAAACAACCAAAACACGAAATTCAAATTTCTTTCCACTTCAAATCGACGGAAAATTTGTTTTTATAGTAAAGATTTATTTTGTTTTTTCGATAGATAAAGATTTATTTTGTTATATCACCAACTCGCTGTACATACCGCAATAGTGTTTACCAGTGGCATTGACGGTTTTAGCATAAAACCAACTCTTATGTCAAAGACTGATCCGCGTTAAATTAAGAAGGGGAACTTGGAGAGTCGTCCACTTCAAAACTTTCAAGGTGTCTCAATGGCCAAAGGCCTAAAGTAAACTCTATACTTGTAAAGTGGGTCGTGCCAGGCATGTCCCAGCCATTATGGCACGTGGGCCATGCTGGGCTTAGGTTTCGAGGCCTACGGGCTAGCAAGGGGTTATAGAAATCCTCTCAACAGTTATAAACGACTGGTTTGAAGGGTATTTGTGTATTTTAACTTGGAGGGACAAAAAATGAGTTAAATGCCTCAATAGCTATATAACAACTAGTTTGAGGAGCATCTTAGTAAATTGATAATTAATTTTATAAAAGATTGAAATACTCCTCCCAACAGTTATAAAATGGTTAATTTTTAAGAATATTTTGGTCAATTGAATTGTTTCCAACTAATATAAATATCCCTACTCTCCCTATTCTCATCACACCAATTCTCATACTCTCATACTTTTATATACTCACATACTCTATTATATACTCTCTTGCTCCCTAGTCCCTAATTATTAATTTTATTCAAGTTTCAACAAGGAAAATGTTTGTTCAAATGTTTCAAGTTTGCAATTTGGGAGGGTTAGAGTTTCATGAGTTGAAATTAAGTTGGAATACTAGACTAGCGAATTGGATAAGTGATAATTAATTTTCATTTTTTAAGGTTTTAATATTTAAAATTTGTTAAAATAACCAATTCCTCTCACAATCCCTTTCTCTACAACTTCAATAATGTCTGGTCATAATATGATAGCACTGATATAGGTGTTAGTGGTATTGTTGCTAAAAAAACCAACCCTACTACTAGTGTTTCTAGGG